TTTTTTTTTTTTTTTTTTTTTTTTTTTTTTTTTTTTTTTTTTAATGTAATTAAAAATTAAAAGTAGCTTCTATACAGCCTCAAAATAGAGAAGATTTAATATATTTGGACAACGAAGCGATGAGTCTCAGGTGGACCCCACGCGTAATTTGTAGAAGCAGTATAATATAGTCGCACTAACCTGTATACCCGTCGACCGGCGTTGTGGTCCACATATGTAGGTGGCAGTCGACCAAGCCTACAGCACGGAAGTCAAGCTGAGCGACCTGTTCACGGTCAAGGCGAACTTCAAGGCTTTGCTGTACACCTGCGCGGCGGTGAGTTTCCAGCAGCTCACCGGCATAAACGTCGTGCTCTTCTACGCCCAGACTATATTCAAGGACACCGGCTCCTCCCTGCCCCCGGCCATCTCGACCATCATCATCGGTGTCGTCCAGGTCGGCGCCTCGGCGGTCACGCCCGTAGTTGTCGATCGCATGGGCCGCCGGACTCTGCTCTTGGCCTCCGGTGTTGGCACGGCCATCGGCACCGTGAGTGTTTCTTTCTCTTGTTTTTCAATCGGACAATAGGTGAGACAAACGATTTCGCCCATAGGAAGCGGGAAACTCGGGAGTTATCCGAACCCACACAAAGCGGCGCAATGTCAAACATATACCCGATGTTTGGCTCACTGTTTTTTTTTTTTTTTTTTTCCCCACAACATAACATTTTAATTATTACGAGTAGGTGTTATCAATGCTGTATGGTTCGATGGTTTTTACGCTTCATCGTTGTCACCATTATTTTTGGTATTTTTGGATTACCGGCATTTTGGAAGCAGCAACCACAGGTCAAAAACGAGATAAACAAGGGGAATAAAAGAGGCAACATAAGTACAACGCGCCTGTAATGCCCATACTCCTCGTTTAAAGTAACTGTATGTACACGCGTATACATGCGCCCATAATTTACATCCACCACTGAAAAGATGATGCTGCGCGTGTCCATTATTTAACGCTCGAAGCAGCCCCTTAAATATTTTGGCACGCGCTCACCCCTCCTCTCCCCCACCCCCCATATCTGCTCTAATGTCCCCCCGATACCTGTATTATACATTCTCGCCTTCCCCTCGGTGTGCCCTCCTGGTTTGTTCCCCAATGTTTACGAAGGGAATCGTTCTCATCATCATTTGTTGCTGTCCCGATGCGTGCAGTTATATTTTATGTGCTGTTCGATACTCGATCGTGTGTTTTGCATTATCGCAGATGCAAATGTCATGCAATGTGGCCCTTCGAGTGGGGCTTGTGATCTATGGAGCTTGAATAAGTACAATGACGGGCCTGGTTTGCAAGTTTTCACCTCAAACCGGACTTGTATTCTTATTTGCAATAATGACGTTGGCAGCTCGTGCAGTCCTTTCGAGCAAACGAAGCTTGCAGTGACTGAGGAAAGGATATAAATAATTTGTGTTGTTCCAGACTTTTTTCATCTCGGACGTTACTCCACATTTGACTTTTCCATCAATACACATTTTTTTTTTTTTTCCTCATATTTCGAGTTTATTGTTGAGCCGGTTCATTGGATTCCTAAGCCACCACACGGATCCCGAGGATTGAAGCAATAGTTGTCATCAAATCGAGCTTAGGGAGCCTTATCAACGCCGGTACAATAGAAAAATCGAAAATCCCGCGGCGCAGCTCATCGTTACTTACATTACGCGCCAAGCTCGTAAAAGCAGCTATTATGAATAAGTCACTTTGAGTGCGCTCAAGAAAAAAAAAAAAAAAAAAAAAAAAGCAATACCAAACGGAGGTGGGTAAAAAGGCACGGAGGAAGAAAAAATAACAGAGAGAAAACATAAAGAGGACGAGATAGGCATCAATCGCGTCTATCCGAGCGTGGCGTTTCTCACAGTAACCAACACACGACGGTGACGAAAACGAAAACGGACTTTCACGCATTACGGTGCACATGTGTATATATATATATATACATACATGTGTACATATATGTATACACGTAAGGACAAGAAGCGAGGCTACACGTATGTGAAGCTATACAAGTATTAAGCATGTAGGGACTCCCCGCGGAGCATTTGTTAGCTCCTTACGCATTCAATGGGGCCACTCTCTGGCGCTACCGTTCCATTTTATTTGCCGGTTAAAGACACTCGAGTTTTGCTATTGTACACATGTAAGTCTGTATATATAATATATATAGGTACCCACCACCATCCCATCACCAAATAACACGTATCCCTGCCACCTCGTACAGTTACTTATATAATATGCATATACTTTCTAAGGGGGTAAAAGTTTATTTACGGCACGGCGAAAGCCAAAAGCAGAAAGGTAATTGGGATCGGAACGAAGCTGACACGGCAAATGTAAATTTGCATTAAGTGATGAATTTTAGAAGCTGCGAGAGTAGGCTCTCCGACAGCAAAACACAAACGCCCTTTCCGGTTACTTACCCGCGCAAACGTATTTTAACAGTAATGAATAATTTAACAACTGACGTAATTTTTTTGTGTGTTGAGTATACTTTCAAGCCGAAAAATATCTATTTAATAGCACCTTGAAAAAACAATTTTTTTTTCTCCTTTCATGGTTGTATTTCATTAGAGAGTATTGCGATTTTTCTTGAATATTAATTTTTTTCGTGAAGTACTTTTAAATCAGCACATTAAAAAGTAATATACATAATGCTCACTCATACATTGTATCCATTTCATACTAGAAATTTACTTTTTTTTCATGAAATTAAAAAAAAAAAACTGTTATTTGCTATTAACATGCTACTTGGGACTGAAAAAACTTATTTTAGTTGTTAAATGTTTTATTATTGTAAAAATAAACACTTGTAATCTATCATTGTCCATCAGATGCTGTGTATTCTTGTTAATAACTTTTCCCCTGCAGGTGGCGTTGTTTCAAATATCTGCTCGTCTCCTCAGTAGGTATACTAGAGTATGACTACTATGACTATAGTATGAGTATATATTATGTAGGTAGTAAAACGTACCTAGTTGAGTATTACACGGATTACACGAATTCAGGATTGAACAATAATTAGTATTCCATACTTAATCGGTCGGTCCTTTAAGTAAACCTGTAAGTACGACTTACGTTCGATGGTCCTGTATTTACCCCCATCGTATTATGTGTTGATAGATATTTGCCAACTGATAATGGGTATGTGAAATAAGTAAGTGCCCACATGGTTGCGTGACATTACGGTATTTTGATATTAAGGCTCAACTTTAGTCAAGTTGTCGTATCCAGTGAAAAAGTGGTTCAGTGTTTCTATTATCTGTTAATTACTTGGCATTATTTAAAATGTAAAGAGGCAGAGGTTAGAAGACTCGTGAATTGTTTTTGTTTTTCGATAACCAGTTTATAATTCGAGAAAATGAATTTTCTACGTTACAAAGCTCTGATACGATTCACACAAATTTCATCTTGCAGCACAAATAATATTGGATTGAGATTTTGTTCAGATGACATAATATTCAAATCCCCTGCACCTCAAAAGTTTTTTAAAAATCTCACAGATGTTAACGACACTTACATTAATAATGATTTACAAAGTGAAAATTTTAGTAATAAAGAATCAAGCCCTAAGTATGTTAAAAACGAGAAATATACCTCACAAAAGTGGAACACTAAATATACTAACAATAAAAAGAATACTTCCAAACAGTTGAACACAAAATATTCAAACAACGAGAATGCTAACACTAAAATTCTTGATAGTTATTTATACAGTAAAAATTCTAGTACTGAAAATTTTCAAAATGAAAATTCCAGTCTTAGGAATAAAGGTGTAAAAAGTGTAAGCAATAATAATTCTTATCTCAGGAGAAATGATAATAAGTATTTTAAAAATAAATCAAAACCGTGTTCAGAGAATACAAACTTTATGACCACAGGTGAACAATCGGAAGATTTATATGTGGACTTGGTAGATATTGATAATTTTGAACAAAAAGAAGAACCACCGGATTTTGTTAAATCATCCAAGAAGCCACAGAGTAATAATAATAAGATTAATTATACATTGAGAGATAATCCGGCATATTCAAAAGAGTTATTATTTGATAAAGATACAGAAGAAACTAAACCAAAAGATGTGAATCACGGTGACACAGAAAAGCTCACAAATGTTGTGGATAAAAGTATTAGTTGTATAAAAGATCATCCAGTCTATCATTTTGACCCAAAATTGGAAGAATACCCTAATGTTGATCCTACCAATGAGACTGAAACAAACTTACGTCAAAAAGTTATACGGTCGCCTGAGGGAGCTATAGAGTATGATTTGTCTTTGGATGAATTTAATGTATCAAAATACATTAAGGAACTGGTAAACACACAGCCATTAGGACCACTGCAAAAGTGTGACGAAGATATTTCAGATTTTGGTCCAGGGCTAGGCCCATCATTTAATTTTGCTTCTTATGCCAATAAGTCCAGACTCATTCAAGAGTATGTAAAGCTTGGAGTTGCATTGTATAAAGTTGAAGAAAATGAACATCATATGAGAGCTCTTCTAACTATGGATCTCGAAAAAGAGTTGCCTGTTTATATTCAGTTTCTTCATGATTGCGGTGTTCCTTCAGATTGCCTTGGTGATGTAATTACCGAAAATCCAATGGTTTTGAAGGAAGATTTGGATGACTTGAAAACTAGAATACGGTATTTAAGGGCTCACGATTTCACGGTAGACAGTATAGCAAGGATCGTTACAAAAAATCCAACATGGCTCACATGGGCAACCAAGCACGTGGATGAAAGGCTTGGTCACTTTCAAAATGAATTCAAACTTACTGCCAATGAGGTGCGATTTTTGGCAACTAAACAACCAAAACTTATCACTTACCATTTCAAACGAATTCATGAAAATACGTTTGCTGTCAGAGAAGAAATGGGCTTCAAACCACTAGAAACGAAAGTTTTATTGCTATCAAAACCACGTTTATGGATGAACAGTAAGATATACTAAAAACATTAACTTTTTTTTTAATTCACACTAGTTAAAATTAATGATTAAAATTTTTTTTCAGATCGGAAAAAAATCGTTGAGACATTTGACTATCTTCATAACACCATGAATTTGTCTCACTTGGCAATTATATCGCAAACGGATGCTTTAACTTGTCGCAAGAGTCGTCTCAAAAATCGTCATGAATTTCTCGTCGAGTTAAATAAAGTTCAGTATGATCCAAAGAAACCAAATTACATTTCTCCAACATCCGTAGCTTGTGGTTCAGATGTGGAGTTTTGCAAGGATGTAGCAAAAACATCCATCGATACATATAATTTGTTTTTGAAAACTCGTTAATACATAGATGTTAATGTTTATAAATAAATTTATTACAATTTTTTAAATTCATTTAAAAATATATTGTTGAGAATGCAATTTACAATATTTATAGTTAAAGGGTTAAACTTTGCTAAAAATATTATGATCTTTCAATACAGAGAATTCACGTGATTTTTGTACAAACGTTTTTCAGACAAATTAAAAAACACTTTCAGAAAGACGATGGTATTTATGTCTTAGTGAAAATTATTTAAATGTAAGATTGAAACCAACACTTTCAGTAGAGATTCACTTATGTACACAATGAAAAAGTTTACAAAAAATCATAACTATGATTTTTCTATAGCACATTACAAGGATAGATGTATAAGAACAACATGTAGAGTAGAAAAAAAAAAAAAAAAAAAAAAAAAAAATCAGAGAGAAAATTATTTCTTGGGCGCACCTGCAAACGAGAGTGTCACGCGGTGCACTCGCCGCCAAGTAAAAGAAAGAATAAGGAGCAGCGAGAGACGAGGACGAAGATGACGACGGCGATAAATCCTGAGGCTCTCTTGGGCCCGCGCGTTGTTTTTTTCTCCTCTTGCTGCATTATAAGTTAGTAAGTATTCGAGCAATCTGTCAACAGTCAACTGACTTCCTTAAGCACGTGTGTACATACAAGTGGTACAATGATAATGATAATGATAATAAGTAATTTGTATACACGATGCGACTCGCCCGAGACTATGCTTTTGGTCTTCATAATACCTACTCGAGAGTTGATCTTTTTCCACTAATCATCTACATCCCCATAATAATATGGTACTGTACTTATCAACCTATACCGTACAAGTAAAACATTAACCTATTCGCGCTGAATATCAATTATTGTTTTGCTTTGTTTTTTCTCCTTAAAAAGTTAATCTAACAATACGCGTGGTAATCGCCTGAAACTGCAACATCCCCGCGCAGTGCGTAAAACTATATACGAGCCTCATTAACGAACGTCACCGAGAAGATTTTCCCAAAGTATATATATTTTTTTTAGCTCGCGGTACCCAACCTAGGTAGTGCACATAAGGGCAGTCAAGTACCAGCGCCGGCTCCGACAAAAAGTCCTCAAGTGTGTGAACGCGGCGGTCGGCAGCACAATAAACCATACACTACTCTTGTGTATTGTATAAGTAGGTCTTCGTCGCTGCGCTCGCGTTGTCCCCCTGAATTTCGCGTTTAGTTATTCCCTTTCGAGGACGAACACGCCACTCGATAACTCGAAAGCGAGCGCTCGCCTTCGAGGGTCAGGATGCCAGCCACCCGCTGAGCGACGTCCGGACACGCCCGTACCTAACTATATATACTCCACATAATGCTTACACGTATGTGTGTTATACTGCAGTCAGTCACATTCAAGGTACTTACCTATCGTGCGATTATTTTCCTTCCCTCGCCTACCAGCTTTAATTGACACTTGTACGTGATTATCTCTCTCTCTCTCTCTCTCTGTGCTTCTATCTCATTCAACGTACCTTACATGATTTTTGATTCGAGGATAGCCAAAACAATTTTGCTACATAATATATGTAGTCCCACAGCAGTTGTTACATTAGGGTGTACATAGGTAGGTTACCTGGAAAAAAAAAAACCAACGTATCAAGATCACTTTTTCCATCACAGTTGAGAGAAATTAGTTGAATAAATTTGATGATATCGCATGACCGTGCCGGAAAAAAAAAAAAAAAATTCCATGGTTGGCACTTGCCATTGAGTCGTTCCCCAGTGGTTCACCCCCCGCCCCCTAGCAGTAGAAACTTAATCGAGCGTGAAAATCGCCCAGTGCGCACACTTTCGCCGATACCTTTAATCCTCCTTCTCAACTGATTTTCGGATGTCCCCTCGGTTGCAGCTCCAAAAATCTCTTCTTCAAATACAGGGAAATTCAAAGCTGAGCTCGTATGCTAGTTTAATCGCTCGTACTTATTTATACGTAAAATGTCATACTTACAGGCTGTGCGAGACAAAAAGGCGCAGTTTTTGCGTACAGATACGCTGCAGAGAACCGATGACGCGGACATCATATATGTATATACAGGACCTATGTACAAGTACCATTACAATACTTACGATCGCGCCGCCGACGACGACGACGATGACGATACATACGGGTTATTTGAAGGCTCGAGGGTTGCTGTTTTTCTCGCGTGTACCTACTTGTTGCACAATGTAACACTATCCCGATCCCGAGGAGGGGCCATTGTGCACTCGCGCGAGCCTCTCGAGGGCGGGAGGATTGAGAGCCTTAAATGCAGTAACCATATAGCTGCTCTGATGTATTATTTTTCCATGAACGAATCCTTTTATTGTGCCCGTCGAGCTCTGAGAGTAGGAGACGGGAGCACTGCAGCCCGAGCGGAGCGACGATGAAGACGATGAGCACGACTCTCTGGCGCAATTATTTTCGTATACCTACACAATTTACATGCAACACGACTGATGTAGGGTACTTTTTCTCCCTCTCTTCTCCTCCTTCTCCAAGGGTCTTTGCGTCTGTAATTATTATTATGAATGTGCCGGCATTGAGTAAAAGAAACGCGCAATCTATGACGACGTGGTCAATTCAATTAAATTGCTCCCCCTCTCTTTATTCCTTCTTTTACTTATGCATCGGTGTAGCCACATGTGTGTGCGTGCAGTGTGGGTTTCAGTATGCCAGAATTTCGTTTATTCGGCGTTATTGGCTCAATCACATCAAATTTTATGAAAGTCATTCAAGTGTACATTATGTTGGCGAGTACCGGATTGTTGTGATATTCGCGCTGTTTGTGAAAAATTTTCCTTCTTGCCTTTAAAACGCATCGCGTATACACATACAGCTGCCTTTTACGACTGCCGCTATGAAATGTATGCGACAAGGATTTTTACGACTTTCTGCTTTTATTTTCCGCGTAATTTCGCAAAAATTGCCGATCGGATTTCGCCCGTTTGTTCAACATCTCGAGCGTTGAGCAAATATTTCGACGACGTTATTTAAAGCAGCACGAACGGGGCCGAGCACTATATTTATAATACTGTGCTATTCGAGTATTTTTCAGGCAATAAAGAGTTTTTTTTTTTTTTTTTTTTTTTTTTTTTTTTTTTTTTTTTTTTTTTTTTTTTTTNCAACCAAGCACGTGGATGAAAGGCTTGGTCACTTTCAAAATGAATTCAAACTTACTGCCAATGAGGTGCGATTTTTGGCAACTAAACAACCAAAACTTATCACTTACCATTTCAAACGAATTCATGAAAATACGTTTGCTGTCAGAGAAGAAATGGGCTTCAAACCACTAGAAACGAAAGTTTTATTGCTATCAAAACCACGTTTATGGATGAACAGTAAGATATACTAAAAACATTAACTTTTTTTTTAATTCACACTAGTTAAAATTAATGATTAAAATTTTTTTTCAGATCGGAAAAAAATCGTTGAGACATTTGACTATCTTCATAACACCATGAATTTGTCTCACTTGGCAATTATATCGCAAACGGATGCTTTAACTTGTCGCAAGAGTCGTCTCAAAAATCGTCATGAATTTCTCGTCGAGTTAAATAAAGTTCAGTATGATCCAAAGAAACCAAATTACATTTCTCCAACATCCGTAGCTTGTGGTTCAGATGTGGAGTTTTGCAAGGATGTAGCAAAAACATCCATCGATACATATAATTTGTTTTTGAAAACTCGTTAATACATAGATGTTAATGTTTATAAATAAATTTATTACAATTTTTTAAATTCATTTAAAAATATATTGTTGAGAATGCAATTTACAATATTTATAGTTAAAGGGTTAAACTTTGCTAAAAATATTATGATCTTTCAATACAGAGAATTCACGTGATTTTTGTACAAACGTTTTTCAGACAAATTAAAAAACACTTTCAGAAAGACGATGGTATTTATGTCTTAGTGAAAATTATTTAAATGTAAGATTGAAACCAACACTTTCAGTAGAGATTCACTTATGTACACAATGAAAAAGTTTACAAAAAATCATAACTATGATTTTTCTATAGCACATTACAAGGATAGATGTATAAGAACAACATGTAGAGTAGAAAAAAAAAAAAAAAAAAAAAAAAAAAAAAGTGACTGCTCAAAACATCGCAATTCTTTGAGCGTATTTTTGTTTTGACTAGTAGTTTACCTTAACTAAACTTTCCTAATTCGATTTTCTTTTGTATCGCCCTAATAGAGTGATACAGAAAAGCATCGAAAATACTGGCTACAGTAAAGGTACCACCAATAATAGCACAAGTGTTGGTCAGTAAGTGTCCAATTGATTTTATGGTTTGTGTGTATTTCACCATTAGCGGGCTAAGCTCGTAGCTGAAAAAGATCCCTGGCATACCCTCGTCTCCGGAAAACAGGGAAACACTTCGAGAATGTTTCGTAATTGAGAACTGATTAGTTTGAAGTATAGATCCATCCAATCTCACGTACGTTGTAGGAACTATCTTGATGTAGTAGTGGATCATCATCGCGCCTGAAATGAAAATACGAATGTATTCAATACTTAAGGGTTAAAAGTTAAAATTTACCACGCTGCGTTATTGGCGTATATAGCTGCGCGCGCAGTTATTATTTTTCATCATATCAATCATATGATGCACAGTGCACACACTCTGCCACTAGACGCACACATACGCACAGGCCGCTGTGTGGCGCTATTTTACTTTCTCGCAATATGGCGGCCTCTTCGTTTCAGACGTATAAATAAAAGTGATAACGGGCTGATTAATCGACAAACTATTCAGTGTTGAAGCATTTAAATAAAAAAAACACCAGTACGGCAATCGACGTTCAGCTTTGGGAGCATTGAGTATTTGCACTGTGTTTATTTACATCGCAACAATATTTTTAGGTAACAATGCCAGTTCCCGGTGGTTATTATCAGCAGCAGGGACCAACGTGCTTTGATAGAATGAAAACGGGTTTCACGATCGGTTTCTGCGTGGGAATGGCATCTGGTGCACTTTTCGGTGGATTCACGTCACTAAGGTACACTATTTATACAAAATGAGATCATGTAAAATGTACATGCTCGCACTGTATCTATATCTATATCTATATTCGTCAAAACTGATGACGCCGATACGTAATAAATTAGTGATTAACATATATTCGTGTTGGCTGAACAATTACATCAACTTTTTTTTTCTTATCACACACGTACAACATATGCATGTACATAAGCGTTCTTCAATTGTGTACGCTTTTTTTCTTTTTCAATATTATCATACATTATTATTTAATTGTACTGATTTTTATTTTGAATTATGAATAATGATTAATAATATGCTAGGTATGGATTACGGGGTCGAGAGTTAGTAAACAGCGTTGGCAAGGTAATGCTTCAAGGAGGAGGGACTTTTGGAACGTTTATGGCAATTGGAACCGGCATTCGTTGCTAGCATAAATTAAACTGTATATAACTTTAATAGACTGTCTAGCATTGTATAATTCCGAAATATATTCTTGTTTTTTCAAATAAAATAATTTTAAGTAAAGAAAGATTGACTTACCTTCTAAAGCATAAAATGAAGAATTGTCAATGGGATTTGTTATTCCAAGTATGTTTGTTCCAAAACTCAAATGCCTAATTTTGTGTGTTAAGTTGAACTGAGAAGATGAAAATGGTTGTACATCGTGCACTGGAATAATATTTGGTAAATTTTCTGAATTCTCTATATTTTTCTTAAATGAAGTTAATTTATTTCCATTTATTCCTCACCATGCAAGTGATTTATAGAAAAGCTTTCGCCCGGTGCTATATGAAAACTTCCTCCAACCCTATTAACTTCCATATATCCATATATTTGACACCCCTCTGTAAAGGCATTCTTTATTTTTTCCACTGACTTATCGTTTTTGCACTGTACAAATCGGGAAGGATCTTCGATTGCCCACTTTCTTTTTCTATAAGCCTCTTTAACATCATCACACGAATTACAACACCTAAAAATGTTTTATTTTTTTATTTACCATACTTACTGCACCATAAAAAATATTTTCTCTACTTACTTTATACCTAATGCTTCATTTGCTGCTCCATAACAGTCCCCACACTGTAGTGCTGTTGTATTATCTACAGGCTAATCATGTCACTTGTTAATTAAACCATTTCATCTAGTGACTAAAAAAATAATTGTTTTTTATTTATTGATTAATACCTTTTCAGTTGTTCTTTTGGTATCAGCAATGCCTGGTATAACAAAAAAAAAAAAAAAAAATCAACAAGATCACAAGAAAAATTAGATTAATTTCTTCGCGTGCAATCGTTACCTGTTTTTTTTGGTTCTTCTATGGGTTTGCCAGTAGGATCCAACCTTCTCTTATAAATATTATGTTCTATGTGTAAGTGCTGTTCTCCAGTTGTGTCCATGGCATCTAATGACAGTACTAGAGAAAGAAATAAATGAAAAGTGTATTGTTTTAAATTTTTTTTATAAATTTTATGAAGAATTTGCATTAAAATCACCCATAAAGTACTCACAATCACATGCTACAGATGGAATTACAATGTCCAGATTGATTTTTAATGTAGAACCTCTGGATGTATCAACAAACAATTCTTCTTTCAAATCAGGAGTCAAGTAGTCACTAACTTCCGAAATAAAAAGTAGGACCATAATAATCGAGCTCAAAATAGTCACTGGAAATTGATTATTTATTAATTTCGATATAGACACGTGGCAAAAAGCCTCAACAATAAAGAAGTAAAACCAATCGTGAATTGTAAAAGCTAAGTATTCGAGTTTGCAAAAATTTGATTGAAAATACAAAATGATTAGTTAAATTGATGTCTAGATGCGTGCAAACTTCGACAGCGTCAATGTTTACAATATGAAAGCTCGCACGCGTCACATGTATACCTATTATATATAACATGTAAATAAAAGAAAACGATAGCTAGGCAGTTGGCGTTTGAGGTTAAACGAGAGAACTTACCAATGGCACCCCCGTATGTCTTGACCCGGAAGTCCTCTAAGGTCTTGGGATAGGCGTCGAGCTGGCGCAGCTTTTCCTGTATGCTCATCATGGCGAGCGGGAGTCGTACAGCAACAAAGCATCTGAGGCTTCCTTTTCCCGGTCGCCAATCTTCCCTGCACACCTGCGGCTGTTGATATTTAACACTAACAAAATCGGACGATGGTGTAGACACGCTGGCACTATACGTGATTGGTGATAAAAAGGTAGGTAAGTGTGTGGTGTAAATATGAGTAATACAAATGAGGGACCGCGCGCGCACAACGACCCCAGCTGATGATGGTGTCCCCAACAATACTTTCAACTTTACTTATGCTGCAGTGGATTGGTGTGATCACTATCGTGGCCCGCCCATAATTTGCGGAAGTAAGTATTAGTACCTACCTATATAATATATACACTCGTCCTCGAGCCTCATATTATTTTATCGTGTTTGTGCATAGCTTGTTGTCGTCCTCGTCATAGCGTCGCCCCCAACAACAGTAATCTCATAGTAATCAACTTCAATTGCTCCCTCGGCTGCTTTCATTCAACTCTCTTTGAGCTTTCTTATTATGAAGTAATCTGTCGATAGTACATATATACTTAATTACGCTATTACTCATTCGAAATTCAAAGATATTATTATGAATAAAACTTTCTTTTAAGACAATTTCCCGAGTCTTAAATTAGTTAACAGCCATACACGTGTAAAGCTGATATCAACTTCTAATTTATAGTCATAGGAAATATAATTAAAGGGATGTAAATAAAAGGATAAACGAAAAGTTTTGTTTGTAACAAAGTTTTTATAAATTTTTATTTTTCATCTTGTTCATCACACTTTGGACTGAAGTATCTTCAAAGCTCCTTCCTATGCGTAGCATATATCGTACAGCTTTATTATATTATAATATCGTAGTGCCATTTTTAACTTGTTAAATTTACTTTTTAAATACTGTGTCTACAGTAAAAAATATAATTATGCCTGTGTATATGTTTTTCAAAATTACATTTACTCTACAATTGTGATGCGTTTTTATCAAACTGGGATAACTTTCTGCTTTTAGAATTCTTAATTGCTTCTTTCAAACTTTAAATGTAAAAATTGCGCCAAAATTTAAAGAAATAAGGAATATCTAGTAATACCTATCGACCTTGAGTTTAGAGGCATCGCGGGCCAAAAATACGTAATTAAAATTTAGTAAATAAAGTTGTACCAATACAATAACATAATTAATAAAAAAACGAAATAATAATTTATAAAAAAATATCAATAAATTTTACTTGACTCTTATAAATAATCGTCAAACTTATAATTAATAAATGGACGGTGCTCTGATAAAAAAAAAAAAAAAAAAATTAATAACTATAATAGTAAAAATCCCCGCTGGCGAGATTTTTTCTCTCACGTACATACAACATATGTATAGCATAATAAGCTAAAACGACTCATTGTTGATATTTGTAAGCTTGTATAGGTACCTGGTAAGTTGTGTTAAATTGCGGCAACAGTACATGTTTAACAACTGCTGATCGGATGCAAAGTTCCTAAAAAATCGTCTTGTGCAGTCACTAAATTTTTAATTGCTCGATTTCACTGCGCAAAGTAAAAGAAGAAGACACGAGAAGGAAATATAATTAAATAATGAAAACTATTTGGCGGCAAACGCGGAATGCCTGTCTCGGCCTTTTTTTTCCCTCATCTTTTTCGTTTTTCCAAGTATGTACAAAAGTTGGTATAAAAATGGTAAGGCTTGAGATCGAGCTGCGATAAAATTAGTAGATCCAGTTGACAGGGACCCACTGATCTTCTTCCGCGAGGGCGTCCAAGGCCGCCACAACCTGCCGGAAGGTATTGTCAAAGTCCTCGTTGACGATCACAAGATCGATGTATTTTTCGTACGCCCGCTGGAGGGCCGCAGACTCTTCCACGGTCGATTTCAAATCATCTTCCTGAATTCATCAACAACCGTCAACAAATTAACATTGGGCATTAATGTTATACCTCTATTTCGTTTGCTTAGGTAAACAGATGTAGGTAAATGCACTAATCGGAAAATTAAAGTGATTTTTTCTATTGATACGAAAAAGTCGTATGACACAGAAACAGCAAGCAAACAATAATCATGGAATCAAAGATGCAATTACATTTGAAATAGAATCACGATGGGATCATAAAAGAAAGAAAAAAAAAAAAAAATTCACTAATACTGATATGCTTGCGTGCAAATACAAACCTCGTACAGCGATGCCAATGATTCCAATGTTCTGGCACGTCTCGAGCTATACCTGATGGTACTCTGGCGATCAAACTAGCAAGGCCAAAATATGATAAAACAAAATTGTATGATGCAAAAATAATTAATGTTATATTTATAATTATAACCATAACGCTATCGAAAAAATTAAAAATTAATTATTACTCTACAGGCACTACTTAATGATTGTAAATTGTCTCTGCGCGTCATATTTAGGTAAACAAAACTTCACTACTTTGTGATATTAAAAATATCAAATATAAAAAGCAAGAAAATTATCGCTCGAAATACGTGAGATATACCATCAATTTTCATTTGCATTGGAAAATACGAAAGAATTTTTGCGAAATTTTTTTGTAAACATGAAGAAGGGAGAGCAATATCCCCGTAGCCTTTCGACCGAGGTTAACTGTTATAACTTTTTTCATACTCTTTCATGCATATCTTGTCAGGGTTCTTAATCTGCTTGAGGAATTTCATTTCTATCGCTTGACGCGCGTCGAATAGTTTCTTCTTTTATGCAATAACGTTTTAATCGTCTCTTTAACTTTACGAGGTTCTCGGATTAAAATGTGTTCGGCTTATTTGTGATACTAAATCCATTGAGTAGAAATCTCACAAAAAAAAAAAAAAATATAATAAATAAAAAAATAAGTGGCGTGTTTTCATGGAACTTTCACCAGCGTGTTACTTATTTGAATTTACCGAAGCAACCACAACACAGCGACCGTGTAATGTAAGCGATGAGAAAAAACTTAAGATTCAGTATTGGTTGCAGCAGAGATTCATTCGATTTGTTTCAAAGTCTGCGTTTATACACAAGTTTTACAACTCCCGATTTATTTATAGTTCTTTTAATCAACTTGATAATGTATATTATGTGTATGATGTATTCTTGAACGATTAATGAATTTTGAGTCACTGTTAGAAAAAAGAAACATTTATCTACAGGCCATTTTTAATCAACATACAACGAAACACGCTTACATTTAAACGAAGCTCACTGGTTATCACATGAAAAAAAAAAAAAAAAAATCATGCTTTCAATAGGTATCACATCGGATAGACGAGCACATTAGAAAATACGTGAGTACGTTGATGAACGGTCACAAGGATTCCTAAAATTATCTGTATAAAAAGCTAATTGAATTATGAAAGTACGAAAAAAATCACAACTGGCAGAGGAACGAATGTATAAAAAATGTCAAGTATATACTAGAAAATACCGTGAGGTTGCGGCTACTGGCCCCGGTGGATCTGCCCAGATCGTAGAGCGACTTGAGCTGTTCCATGCCCGGGGCGGCGATAAAGATAACGTAAGGCATGAACTCGGTACTATTGTGCAGGATCTTGAGAACCGTGGGACTGCAGTCGAGGACGCACATGCGACCAGCGCGTATCAGCTCGCGCACCGAGTCCAGCTTGGTGCCGTAGAGGTGGCCCCCGTGCTCGCCGTGCTCGAGGTACCGGTGCTCCCTGATGTCCGCCTCCATGCTCTCGCGGTCCGTGAACCAGTAACTCTTGCCATTCTCCTCGAGGACTCGTGGAGGTCGCGACGTGACTTTTGACATGGCATAACGTTTCATATACATACATACACCAACAAAACAGTATTAACCAGAATGAGAGGGGTTTAACGACTCACAAGGCACAATGGTTCCAAACTTTTCGGGATCGCTGTTGATCAGCCGGTTCTTGAGGGTCCTCCGGCCGACGCCACGGGGCCCGACGAGAGCCAGGGTCTTGCGCCTGAAGGGCGGCATGCGCGCCACCTCCTCGTAGAGCAGCAGCTCGGCGTCGTCAAACTCCCCGTTTGACTTTGATTCGTACATTTTGCGCTTCTTCTTCTTGGAGATGCGCGTGCCGCAGATGCTGATCTTGTGGACAAAGTCGGCCTCGGGCGGGACGAAGGCCTTGCGCCGTTCCTCGAGCTCGAGCGAGGGCACGAGCCCGGGCGGGCCCAGGCTATTGCCCTCGATGCGCCGGGCCTGCCACCAGTTTGGGTCTGCTTGGTCCACGATTTGTAGGATGTCGCCCTTTTGGAAGGCCAGCCCGATCTCCCGGCAGGGCAGCAGCGTATCGTCCGACGGCTCGTAGTCGAACAGGGCGCGCATGTAGCACTGTGGAAGTTGTTCATTTGTTATTTTTATATTATTAATTATGTAAAATTATATTGGTCAGAGTGACGGTATCCCTATAATATGTGTATATCACCTGTATTTACCTACACTGTACACGATAATACGATTCCCTACTCTCACTGTAGTTATTATTATGCTTCATAACTGTCTAATACTTATGAAACGTACAACGCGAATTTTCCATGCGGATAAAGTTTCACTCCAAGTAGGTACGTCACGAAGATTAATTTGCTCGGAATTACATCCATCTCTACATGTATATAATATGTTTGAACTAAAATCGGATGCACACCTACTGTTTTCCTTTCAGCAATGTTACGATATACCCACATCCTGACAGTGAGTGTGTGTGTGTGTGTGTGTGTGCGCGCGCGTCTGGATGAACAAATGGACGTTTGCAATATACAGATTGGATAATATATAGATATGTAGTTGGTATTGGTAGTGGGTCAAGTACCTTGAGATCAGTGTCCTTTTGGCAGTCAAATCGATAGCCAATTAAGTAATGAGAAAAACGTCAACAATGTAATATGCAAGTATTTTGGATGATATTGGATAAAAAAAAAAAAAAAAAAAATCAATGAATTGTAAAGTCAGATTGCACTACATTGGTGCGGGGACAATGTTTGTAAATGATATTACCGTGGATTTGATTTGTCGATTGGCATCGGAGTTGATTCCAGGCGCGAGCTTGAGGGTGAGGTTTTCCTTGGCTTCCTGAATGGTCTGTTGCAGCTCGTCGGGATTGCGCACCGATTGGCCGTTGACTTCGAGAATAACTTCACCGGGCCTCATAAGGCCCTGTCGTGCTGCCGTACTACCGCCAAGGATGCGGGCGATTATCAGATTACCGTTTTCATCAACTTGGATGGTCAGGCCCTGAATCAACGACATGATCGTATAAATTATTACGTATTACATTCTACAAATGTGATGCAAAATACAGTGTTGTATTGTTGTTGTTATAATAATAATAGACTATAGGATATATACATAATATTGTTGTGTGAAAGAACGTACGAGAGGTTCATCGGGTTGCCTCCTGAGCCCGACGACCCTTATGGCCTCGGTGGGTATCTCATCCGTGCTGGGCATCATTCCCCCGAGCAGTGGTTTGCGCGGCATCGTCGACGACGACTCCTCGATATTCCCGTTGAGCTGCTGCTGCTGAAGGCGAGCAGCGATCGCGGCGTCGTGGGTCCCGAGGAGACTACGCAGGTGTCTGCTCCTCAGCAGCAGCAGGAGCTCCCGGGATTCTGGATTGCGCGACGGCTCGAGGGCCCGTGTCACCTGCTCGACGACTTTGCAGATCGACGAGCACACTGGTACCGCGTGCACGGGTGCTCGCTCCGAGCGCTCCTCTATCTGTTGGATTATTGTGAAAAATACTCAAGTATCTGCTCCTATTCGTTTACACGGCATGGGTATTGTCAATTTTTTGAATCATTCATCTAGCTATTNGTAAGTATATCGAGTGACGCATGGCGCGATGGCCTCGTAGTAAAAAAATATAGGTACCTATACATATATTATACATAAGTATACGCACACTCATCCGCTAACACGTGTTGCCGATAGTTCGCGCATTGACATTACCCTAAGCATTATTATAACCTATATATATATACACACAACTCGCGCGGGAGCAACGGCAATTAAGTAGTTGTATCAAAGCGACGATTATTCTCTTGCCTCGATTACCGAGCGATTAATTGGGGCTCGGGCTATTTCGAACAATTACTCAAACTCGCGCGATCGCTTAATTCTCGGCGATGATGTTAACCATATTAATACTTGTACGTCAGAGCTAATTTTTTTTTTTCCTTCAGCGCTACGAAAACATTTTATACCATACAATACCGAGTCGGCAGTCTCGCAACGATTTGATTGTTTTCCTATTGACTGTAGGAAAGAGGTACTGTACTCGCTATCGCATTGCATCGCATCTCATTGATGCATCATGTGCATCATCGGGAATAATGCAAGGTGTGGGTGTGTTTGTTTTACAAAAGCTATAGATCGAAAAGAAACATATTTATACAAACTTATATGGGAATAAATATACGGGAAAGAGACGGGAAGCTTTGCACGCGGAGTAAAAAATCTCGTACTTACGAAGCGATTGATTTTCCAGGCTGATTTGTAAATTAGGTCAGCCGCAAACTTTTGGTCACCGATTCCCGAGTTTAACGTTACGTTAGGGTTCATATGTATAAATTATATCTATATAGACATCGCGCGCGCACACACACACACACACACACAATACGTAGGTACGTTATGTTATATGTATACACAACACAAACAGGAAAAAGGACCGCACCCGAAAGGTTATTCAACTCGTCCCGTGTGGGAGCTTTTCTTTCGCACTGCACTTAATTTTTTTATGAACAAGTAAATGTAGGTATTCCCAGTTGGCATCGCACGCCGCTATTTTTTATGTGTCCAAAATGCAATTATAAACTGCTCGTCTTCTGCTGCTGTTGCAGCCGATCGCAATAATGATAATGATGATATGAAATACCTACTTGTGCATGCTGCTGTATGAAAGAAGGACGACTTGTACGTATGCACATGTGACTACCCACGTATACCTGTATAATTATGTACCTACCACGGCTAGGAGAGGAGTAGAGGTAAAAAAAGGGCGGCGACGACTGACGGCTGCGTCTCGACTGCGGAGACCGAACCCAGAGCCCGGGACGGAAAATCGAGGTGTGCGACAAATCAGATTACTTATTAGGTATATAGGTAGGCTTGTGTAGGTACCTAAAAGTCCAGGCAGCGCAGGGTAAGCTCGGGAAATATCGATCGGTCGGTGGTAAGCGATGCGCCTGGGGAAGATGTCGGACCAGCGTCGCTCAACACACTGTACCTTACCTACTACTGCCGCGCCTACATTCGGGGCCTCCTCTCCTGTGCGCCTCAGGAACGCGATGGCCGAAGCAGTGAGAGAGAGCGTCACGAGGAGAAACAGGAGGGAGAGGGGGGGGGGAGACCCTGGCACTCCACTCTCTGACTCTGTGTTTTTTTTCCCGTCCTTTCGTTCATCGCACGGGTATTATTATTATTATTATTATTATTATTATTATTACATAGGGTATTAAGGTAGGTACATACATACATACATACAGAGGTGAGTGTGTAAGTAACACATATACACACACACACACACACACACACACACACACACATATACAC